TAGTTTGTCTTTCTGTCTCAATTTAGCTTTGCCTTTGTACCAAATGCAATCATATAAATGGGAAAAAATGCTGAAATGTGAGAAAACCATCTATAAGGTCTTTAATAATTCTAAGAACCAGAAAGAAAATAGAGTATGGAAACTGGCAAGAGCACACTTAACGTATTAATATATTGTTTGCATTTTACAGTGAAAATGCTGATTTCTTGCTATATGCCATGTCTGTAATTTGGAGGCTAATGTGTGTGCAATTTCTTGTAAGTGAGCTCTTAAGAGTCTCAACCTTAGGAAATAAGTAGCTATCTTAGTGTCTAATCAGAGGATCTTCTTGAAAATACAAATTACAATTGTTTAAAGAGGAAAATAAACAATTTCCATCAAATCATGGACCTTATGATTTTTAAATCCCAAACTGCTTTGTAAACGAAGATTGGCCTATTTGTTTTAATGGCAAGCTCTCAGAAGAACTCTTGGGAGTTAATAATCAAGTTAATGCAGCAATTCTAAAGCCCATTAATCTGTATTTGTTTTTTTTTTTTTTAACATCTTTATTGGGGTATAATTGCTTTACAATGGTGTGTTAGTTTCTGCTTTATAACAAAGTGAATCAGTTATACATATACATATGTTCCCATATCTCTTCCCTCTTAACGTCTCCCTCCCTCCCACCCTCCCTATCCCACCCCTCCAGGTGGTCACAAAGCACCGAGCTGATCTCCCTGTGCTGATCTCCCTGTGCTATGCGGATGCTTCCCACTAGCTATCTACCTTACGTTTGGTAGTGTATATATGTCCATGCCACTCTCTCACTTTGTCCCAGCTTACCCTTCCTCCTCCCCATATCCTCAAGTCTGTTCTCTAGTAGGTCTGTGTCTTTATTCCTGTCTTACCCCTAGGTTCTTCATGACATTTTTTTTTCTTAAATTCCATATATATGTGTTAGCAAGAGAAAGACAAATACTGTGTTCGTTTTAATAAACCTTACTACACACATAATGCACAACTGAGAGGTATTATAACCTGGGTAAAGTCACTTTTCTTGTGTAGGAACTACAAAATGGGAATTGCAATTCACGTGTCAAAGAATGATTTTATTAAAAATCATCAGTTTTCATGAGACTGCCTCTATTTCTGGAATACAAATGCTCTTTCTATCTGAATCAGTCTTTGAACCAATGACAGAATTAAAATTGTATCTATTATCTGCCTGGATACACCTGATTCAATTAAAATTTTTCTAAAAAATAAATTATGTGCTGTAAGAATTATAGGAAAATAACATTCATAACTCTTGGTTGGCAGGCCAATTGTTCATGGCATTTCTTTACATAATTAGGGCTTGTACCAAAGTTAAAAAGAACTTTCTGTGCTTGACATTTGGATGAACGTTGGTGGGGGAAAGCATACTTTTCCCTAAGTTTCTGTAATACACATTTACAAACAGTGCTTTGTAGATAAACTTCCAAGAAATTTGTCGTCACATTTGCCTGCTGGGTGTGGAGCTCAGACATGGTTGGGTTTTTTGCAAGATGAAACAAATTAATGCCTATCAGTCCCAACCCGAGGTTTTAGTTAACGTCCTTCCATGCCTTCCCAACCCCCGCAATTGCAGTTAAAGTTCAACCATTCAGGTTTTAAGTGCAGCACAGCGAGACTGTGATTGATATCATCAGGCACATAGACTGTGCTTTGCTATTGGGTCAGACAGCCAGGCAGGAAAAAAGCAGTGCCAGCCCTATTATAAAATCCCTGCTTATAGGATAAAATCCCTGCTTGTTAGGATAAAATCCCTGCTTGTTAGGATAACTCTGGGAGCTGGCAACACAGTGTGGCAGAGAAGGCGGATTCTCGTGTTGTTTACTTTTTATGGAATTAGGATGCCATGAAGCAAAGAAGGCCCACTGGATCTCCTTCTAAGGGCCTTTCTCCATTACGAGGACCTAAGTCTAAGTGTCTCCTAGAGTCCAGTGTGTAGACCTTGTCTACTGGATGGCTGATCGTAACAGCTCCTCCAAGGAGGATTTCGTGTATGTATTGTAGGGTATTGCCAGTAAGCATCTGTTATTTCAATGGATCTGTCCTGCTCAAGTGGCCCTTATAAAAATACATGTTCCATCAGCTAAGCTTTCTTAATTGAGACTTGGAGCTGACAAGGCCACAATTAATATTGCTTCCTGCCTGTCTGAGTGTATGTTCACTGTGAGTGACGTAGGGATGTATCAGTAAGCCCAACCATGAATCCTATTAGCGTAGGAAATACAGAACACGTTTCTCTTCTGGCTTCTGCAGGACTAGGCAGGCTTTATGAGGGTGAGGAAAAAAAACTAGTCTGGTTGAGGACCCTGTGGATTACAATCACCAACATGTTGGAAGATGTCTACATGAAATACGTAGCCCTAGGTAGGAACAACCACGTCATTTGATCCCAGAGTGATCATTTGATTTGCTGACATAAAGCTGTATTTATGTATAGCTTCTGGCCAAGATAACCCCATTGTCAATAATGACAATAACAATAAAAGAAGTCAAGTGTTTCCAGAAAAGTACACTTTTATTTTTTGACCTAATGATCGGGGTTTAATGAAGCTATTGTCATCTTTAGAGCACCATCGTGTTGTCTTCCTTTCCCATCTAGCCTCCAACTTCTGTGATTGCAGGGACCATAATTGGTGCATCTGTGCTAGTAACTAGCACAGTCTCAGGGACGTGGTAGATACTTAAAAATATCTGTGGCATGAATGAATGTTCTCTGCAGTTGGGGCATCTCCAGGAGCAGTAGACAGCATTTTCTGTCGACTTTTACCCTGGAAGTTCGGTAGGAGAAACAGGCATAAGAAACATGGCGTATTCTTTCTGAGCGGTCTTCATCACTCAGCTCTCCTAAATCATTTGACATTTGCGTCTGTAGTTACTCTTTGTCTTTACCATTCCTAAATAATAAACAGATATTTATGGAATCCCTGGTCTTAGCCCAGTGTCTCTGTGGGTTTTGTATTTCACTTGTGTCCTCCAAGTTCAGTGCTCTGTTCTGTGTTCTCATGGCCTCTGTACTCATCTCTCTCAGGGGAGCCCTGACCACCCTGCGTTGGTCGTTGCTGGATTACTCATTGGCCTTCCCCTTGGACTGTCAGCTTCACGAGGCTGGGATCTACTTTCTTCTGTATCCCCAGTTTCTAATTGTTTGACCTACTGTGGACTTGTGTTGATATTTATAGAAGGAATGAATAAAAGAAATGAATGAATAAAATGACCGTATTCGACGTTAGATCATCTTTAGGCACTCATTTTCAGATGCAGCTGGAGAAGTGAGACCCTGTGGCATGGTGTCCATAGTTATTGTGATTAGCATGTCACTGAAACCTGTATCTGGCCTTGACTGCTACTGATGTGGTGCCCTGCTAATGTGTTTCTCGTGGCCAAGTAAGGGGCTCAAAAATTAAATGATTAAAATGATCTTTATGTAGATATAGCACTAAAAATGAGAGATCTGGTTGTATAAATTACCAAAGGTCTACAGGCATAGGACTTAAAATGAATTAGGTCAGAAAGTTGAATGGCCTTTAAAATGCAGCTCATGGCAGTGGCTCTTTGCTTTCTGCAGGGTTCTTCTCTGGGGTGTTGCTGTGATACGAAAGGCTTCAGGTCAAGGGTTTGAAGGTGAATAAAAATTCCAAGGGGATGAAATAAAACAAGAGTCAGATAATACATCCAATGAAATGGTTTTCAGGATAAATAACTGTACAGTTTTAAAACAGTGAGTTTAAAGTTTTCTGTTAAATAGAAGTAATGCACATGGTATTAAATGGAAATAGTATCAAGGATATACTATAGTATGCCTGTTTTTTCCCAGAGACTGCCTCTTACTATTCATGTAGTTACCACATAAATCTAGGTGCTGTCCTCATATCCCTAGTCCGTGATAAATCAACTTTAAATGGTATATATTGACATCTACACACTATAGAAAAGGAGGATAAATTTAGTCATTTGTGCTTCTCCTTCTATTCCTGCCAATATTTTGTAATAAAATTATTATTTTTAGTTCTGTTGGGCAGTGCTATAATCTTTAATTATTTGCTTGAGTTTCCATTTTTTCGGATTCATGTCACTTTTGTTGTCTTTCTTGCTATCTCGTGATGTAAGATGAGGATGCTGGTGACTTTGCTACCTGTCCTTCCTCCTGTTCTGTGTCTTACCTCTGCCAGCCCTGCTTTTACTTTTTCACTAACATGAAAGTATCTTAGTATTTATATTCTGTTCTTCAGGGAGGGATTTAAAAATGATTTAAAGGGAAAATTGAAAACCAAAGACAAGAAGTGACTTGCCTGAAGTCTGCTTAATATTAAGAGTTGGGACTAAAACCTGGGGCTTTTTGACTCCCAATCTAGTGGGCTTTCTAGATAAACTCGTTGACCTCATTCATCAGATGTTTATTCAATGCTTATTCTCTGCCAGGCACTACATTAAGTACCAGTAATACAAAAATAATAAGAAATTGTCTCAAGTCTCATACTCTCATACAAAGAGGAAAGACAAATGTGTAAACAAATAACTATGTTTCAGTGCAATAAGGTGCAAAGGAAGGTGTTGTGTAGCTTTTTTTTTTTATCTCACAGGTCAGAGATAAGAGAAACTGATACAATTATTAGAAGTGACAGCTTTAATACATTGAGGAGATAGCATTTTACCCAGCTAACTTATGCATGTTTGAAAAATAAGTCAGACTTTGCTAATATAGTTAAAGAGAAGTAATTTAAATTGTCTGTTTCAAGATTAAGTCTAAAAGAAAAATTTTTATAAATTTATAACTATAAATTATATAATAAATCATGTTATATGTGTTTAATAAGTTTTTATGTGAGAATATCCAAATATTCTTCAGTTGTCCTTATAGGTTTATTTAATATTTTGACTTTAAGTCTAAGCCTTATGCATTTTTTTTAAATAGATCTTTTTTACGGTGACTTGTGAACTTTTTCCTTTCTTTCTTCCTCCCTCAGATTTTCATCACTGTGAATTGCCTGAGTACAGATTTCTCCTCCCAAAAAGGAGTGAAAGGACTTCCTTTGATGATTCAGATTGATACATACAGTTATAATAATCGTAGCAATAAACCCATTCATAGAGCTTATTGCCAGATCAAGGTCTTCTGCGACAAAGTGAGTAAAGATGACAGTTTGTCATAAAGGTATTTTTGTTATTAGATATTGCTTTAATGACATTTCCCCCTTGTCACCTTCTCTTGTCTAGTGGTGTCAAAATAATCACTTACTAATCACAGTGGGAGTGGTAATCTTTCATTCTCAGTTCCTATTAGATATCTAGGGAGTCATCAATCAACTGTATTTTTTCTTTTCAGTCAATCATTCTACTGCTAATTTAATGACTGATTGCCATTGCACTGTGCTATGAGTCTGATTCAGTTAGATAACTGAAATAATAGATTGTTTTTAGTGGATATATAGATCCTGTCCCAGAACATATCAATGTAACCGCTATTAATTTATGGGTTAATTGGGGTCTCAGCTAGAGCCTTTTGGAATGGAAATGGCACCTCTAAAATAAGTTCATTAGCAAACATGCTTCAGCAGAAGATGTAGTTTTTGAATCTTTTTGAAACCCCTCATAAAAGACAGAGCAGTTAAAATGGCAAAGATTAAAATCCCATGATTATGTGACAAGAGACCCTTACAAAATCCCAAATGTGAATGGGACCAAGCATCAACAATTTCAAGACCTGTGTGATGTCGGCATTGTGAGAGAAAGTAGTGGGCCCACTTGATGACCAAAGAACAGGGAACCTACCAAAGTGACCCATGGTACCAGAGAGAGAAATGGGCCATCAGAGGACTGTATGTGAAACTAGGGTGGGAGGGGATGGATTGTACAGACTTCAATTTACTGGTGGGTGCAAGGGGACAGAACATTGAAGTGTTCTGGGCTCTATAAACTCTGGAAAGTTATAAATTGAAGCTCCCTGGTAGGATAAAATCCTGCTCTGAGAAGAGGCTGCTGGGAGTAGAATCCAAGTTGAGTTGAACAAAAACAAAAACAAAGGTTCAAAGGAAAGAGAAGTTCCAAATAAAAAGGAAGAGGGGAAAAGATACAGAGTAGGCAGATCTCAGGAAATACAGGACTATTTTCTTTTATCACTTTGTGAACACAACTGAAGCAGGAGCATGAGAGCCATGAAGCTAAAAGAATTATCCTAGTTCTCTCATTTCACTTAGAAATGACCAGCAGAAAAGAAAAACAGTTGAATCCCATACAGTCTCATGAAAAAAATAATTAAGATCAGACTGACTTCCTGTGGACAGTGGATGCGTGCCAGAAAGACATGCCCACAAAACAGGTGAAACCTATAGCCTAATGTTCCAAAAATGGGCTTAAAATTAACATAATTTTAAAATTTTGAAATTAACAAAATCATGGAAATTATAAAGAGCAGCATAAATCACAGTTTGAAAAACTTAGACATGAGGTGTTTGGAGAACAGAATGATTTGAAAAGAGATATGGTAGAATTCAGGAAAGAATTTAGAAGGAAAAGATTAAAATATTTCAGAAGAAAAGACTACACTACAAGCAACACAAGAGTGAATAAGAAAAGAGAATGCCTTAATAGAAATACAAGTTGGAAAACAGCAAAATCTTAAAAATCAGAAGAAATGAAGAAACAATTAAGAGAAAATACTAGATATAGAAGGGAGGTAAAGACGATCCAAGAGACATATAATATGTATCTTTCAGGAAGAAAGCTAAAACAATGGAACAGAAGAAATGCTAAAAATGGTAAATCAGGAAAAGTTAAAATAAAAAGTATACATTTTTAAATGGGCTACACATGCATCTGGGAAAGTTGACCCAGGATGACTTTAAAAATATTCTTTGAGGGCTTCCCTGGTGGCGCAGTGGTTGAGAATCTGCCTGCTAATGCAGGGGACACGGGTTTGAGCCCTGGTCTGGGAAGATCGCACATGCCGCGGAGCAACTGGGCCCGTGAGCCACAACTACTGAGCCTGCGCGTCTGGAGCCTATACTCCACAACAAGAGAGGCCGCGATAGTGAGAGGCCCACACACCGCGATGAAGAGTGGCCCCCGCTCGCCACAACTAGAGAAAGCCCTTGCACAGAAACGAAGACCCAACACAGCCAAAAATAAATTAATTAATTAAAAAAAAGAAAGTAACAAATGTTCAAGTACAATTGGTGTCTTTAAAAAAAAATTCTTTGAGCATCTAAGAAAAATAAAATAGACAATGAGTCATTTATTTTTTTAAACTAATTTTTACTGGAGTATATAGTTGATTCACAATGTTGTGTTATTTCCAGGTGCACAGCAAAGTGAATCAGCCATACACATGCATATATCCACTCTTTTCCAGACTCTCCTCTCATATAGACTACTACAGAGCACTGAGCAGAGTTCCCTGTGCTACACAGTAGGTCCCTATTAGCCATCTATTTTAGAGTAGATAAGGAGTCATTTATAAGGAACCTTTTTTTTTTTTTTTTTTTTTTGCGGTACGCGGGCCTCTCACTGTTGTGGCCTCTCCCGTTGCGGAGCACAGGCTCCGGATGCACAGGCTAAGCAGCCATGGCTCACGGGCCCAGCTGCTCCGCGGCATGTGGGATCTTCCCGGACCGGGGCACAAACCCGTGTCCCCTGCATAGGCAGGCGGACTCTCAACCACTGCGCCACCAGGGAAGCCCTATAAGGAAACTTTTATCGTCAAACTTTTCAACAGCAACACCCTGTCAGAAGACAATGATATTTAAAGTTATCAAATAAAGAAAATGTGAGCCAAGGATTTTATATCCAGCCAAGCTGACTTTCAATTATAAAGGTGACAGGCAAAAGCAAAACAAAATAAAACAAAGAAATAAAACCACCAACGAACAAACAAGCAATCAAAAAATCCAGGGAATATTTCTTCTTGAGGAATCTATTAAAGAACAAGCTTTAGACACCAGTATGACTGTAAAGACATTGATAAAAGGACTGATGGTGAGCATTATGTGTATACTTACCTTGGATCTAATTCTAAATGATGGGAAAGACAGTAATGGCAATGTGATATGTTCTGACAGTGTAGACATAGTACAATTATTTAAAAATTGGGTAGGGTGGGGAGAGAATATGAAAAATAGAATAAGCTGGCAACTGCTTATAGGTGTTAACTGGACGTAAAAGGGTGAGTTCAGATAGGTCCCGGGGAGAGGAGAGGAAGGGGAAAAAAGAGGTTAGTGGCTAATTCAGAATTGCCAGCACTCTTAAAGGTGCTACAGTCAGATGTAGATCAAAGATCTACCACGCCATTAAAATGTCCGAGTTGTAGTTTAGCAGAGATAGAGAGTAGGAAGAAGTGGGCCTCTGTGAACAGAGGCAGAGATGGTCATGAGAAAAGAGAAGGAAACACATTAACTAGAACTGCACTGAGTTTAGGGACGTGTGGCATAGCAGTGTCTCTAAAATCTCGATAGCCTTTCAGGTCATAATGACTTCAGTTAGTGCTACTCGTCAGAGCAGCACAGCTCTCTCGGGGACAGTTAGGCAGCCCCCACAATACAGAGGAGACACAGTTAAGTCAGTAAGACACGGTTGTTGTGTAGAAGAGAAACCTGCCAGCGAGCACAAGTAACTCGCCAGAGTCACACGGTGAAAAAGCAGAGGAGCTGGATGCAAATCCACATCTGATTCCAAACTCCTACTCCTTATATCTTTTTTTTTTTTCTTTTTTTTTTTCCCTTATATCTTTAATTCAGCATATTAAACATTAAGAAAGCATTTTCAAATGACGTACAACGTGGAATTTTTAAACTACATGTGGGAGAACGTTTATACAATTTGAATTCCTTATTTTATTCCAGAAGTTTCAAGGGAGATGGTAGAATTCCCCTCAGTGAATCTCCTTCTTGGAAGGGACGAGAAAGATTAGGATCAAGGAGAAAGGGAGGGAAGGATTGAATGGAGGCCCTGGGCAATCCATTTACCTTCATGTCATAGTTGGAATTGAAAGTAGGAAAGAGAGGGCTTAAGGGATACTCATATAATTATTTTTTTTCAAGTGTTGAGGTCATAAATACTAAAAATCAAAACAAAGCAAAAATGCAGAATACATAGAGAGTTGTATTGTTGTTCACCTGTGCCCTAGAATGAGAGGGACTCTTAAGAAACTAGTGATGTAAAGAGTTTCTAGTGGGTAGTTTTTAGTTTACGTTTCCCAATGTTGAGTGTTAGGGAACTCACAAGGAAGAAATCTCATGGGACAAGCAGGGTGTATTAACTTTAACTGCTATTAATTTTTCTGATAAGCTGGAAACAAAATTTTTTTGCTATAATTTGTTATCATATTTGTAGCTCTGATTTAAAAATCCAGGCAAAATCTCACTCCTGGGAAATTAAAAAGTTTAATTCTTGCACTTTTCAAATGGGTGTGTAAATGCAAATGATTAATTTGAATTATCCTCTAAAGCAAAAGAATTAAGAGCTATTCTATTTAAAACTGTAAATTTCCCAGTCACAGTCTAGAGTTTTAAACAGATGGTATTCTGCACTATTTTTAGTTCCCCAGCTTGATTTCTAATTAATGCACCTGTGAGATTGCAGATGAAGATAAAGTCCTTCTCTACCTTTTTTTGATATTATGATACTTCTATTGAAATACATGTTTATGAATTTAAAAATTCAGGATCTGCTATATGGCTGTGCCTATATCAATACTTATGTCTACATCTTTATATCCGTATTTAATTACTTCCATTATCTTTTGAAAGACAAGAATTATATTGCTGAAGACAGTGACTATATATTGTTCAAAACTTGAGAATAAAGCCACATTGCCTTAAGAATTTTTTTCTCTTTATTAATTCTTGTTTGGAATGATCTTGGAGACAATGACTGTTGGAGATTATGAAAAGCTAAAGATATCCCTCCAAACTACCTTCTTAGCCAACTTAAATAGTTTACGGCCACATTCTTTTTTTTTTTTTAAACACCTTTATTGCAGTATAATTGCTTTACAGTGGTGTGTTAGTTTCTGCTTTATAACAAAGTGAATCGGCTATACATATACATACATCCCCATATCTCCTCCCTCTTGCGCCTCCCTCCCACCCTCCCTGTCCCACCCCTCTAGGTGGTCACCTCAGTTATCTCT